GCGAAGCCACCTCCGAATCCCACCGCTGACCTCCACTTTTGCGAAAGACGGACCGATCCCGCCGAAGCCACCACTGTTGCGAAAGACGGCGACGCCAACACGGCCCCGAAGGCGCCACTCCTTTCAACTCCGCCGGGAAGGTCACCAGCCGTTTGGTAGCGTATGTTTCTCAGCCCGCGACTGCTTCTGCACAGAGCTGATAAGACGAGCGGACGAGACGACGGTGAGTTAAACAAGGTTTATGTACAGCATATATACAGAGGCGTTACAATTTCGGCACTGGGGCCGACAGAGACTCGAAGAGCCGAGCTCTCCTCTCTAATACATAAGTCAACTTTTCGCCTAAGACCGCCGACTCACACACATGTCGGCTCTCCGACATGGGGACTCCTCTCTCAGGACCGCCGATCGCGACGCGCCGCAGGGCTTCTTTTATTTACACCGGGTCCAACCAAAATGTCCAATCAGAAGCGCCGCTGGTCGTCAGGGCAGATTCCTCCAATAGGGGTCGCCGCGCCATGCGTCAGACCACCAGACACGAGGACGCCGGCTCGCTGTCACGTGCGCAGCTGACTCAATGCACGTGGGCCAGAGAAGCGCCGCGCGTGTTCACGCCGTCGAGTTGATCGCGCCAGGCGGACTGCGGGCTGGCCTTGACCCAGATTGCCTTTTTCAGAGGCACGGTCGTTTGACGAGGACTCGCTGGCATAACAGCTCCCAATAAAAAGCATCTCCTGCTGTTTCGATGTTTCATACATGCCTTGTAGTAGTCGGTCTATACTGAACGTGTTAGCACCCTACCATCTGTAACAGGACCTGACCTGTAAGAGACCATTTCAATTTGTCTGCAAAGTTCAAGACTTCTTCGCTCCAATTCATCCAACTGCAACATGTTCTTGGGCTGCACCATGTTACAGGTGTTTGTGGCAAAGCACTTTGAACAAATTGGGAATTGGAAAAATTAACTGACACTATCCCCAGGTAGACTACTCAACATGAAGTGAGCATCTTTAAGGGCGGTAACACGTCGGAGAGCTCCGTTATGCAATGTGGTCAGTGGACATTGCATTTTTTTTCTCCAAATATCTATGTAACTGTCTTGACTGCTATGTGGTAATTGTTATAGAATATGATAGTACAAAATATTCTGCATGAGACCTGTGGTGTATTGCTTGACAAAAAAAATCTACCCTGTTATACCTGGGTGTGCTAGTCAGGCTGAGAGTGCTAAGATAATGCATAAGTCATGTATTTTTTTCAGTTTTGCAGCTAAACACACCCAACTGCTAGGAATGTAGCATAAGTGTACAGAAACCACAAAGTGCCACTTGACCTAACGGCTACATATTGGCGATGCTTTACAATGAAAATGAGTACGAGTAGTCACTTCCTTGAATATTCAAATTTGTTGGAATATTGGCATCTTCAAAGGTACGTTTCGCCAAGCCTGAATGTTCAGGAAAATCTTAATTTTTATTTTTCGGTGTGAGGGTGCTTTGAATAAGGAGAATAAAACTTGAATTTTTATTCAAAACCTAATATTTGCACACACTTACTTTTCACCATTGCTTTAACACAGCAGTTCCTTTGTAAATAGTTGCAGTTTGAAATTGAATTGCTATTGGCATGGAGCATAAGCTTAATGCATACTATGCTTATGTATACTTGCAATCCTTCTATATTGCTGCATTATGGTGTGTGTGCTGTCCGTGTGGCATTCTTGCCTGAAACCACGCTTGGGAGTGAAATTTACCTACAGGTACCCTTCTTTCTCTGCTTATTCTACTTCCCATCCCCGCAGTGTAGGGTAGCTAACCTAACTTTTCTCTGGTTAATCTAGACTGTGGAATTACAATAGGTATGATGTTGTGACAGGAATATGGAAAGGGGTCATGCTTCCTGGTCTGACGTTCGGCAATGCGGTCTTGTGCATGAGATCAGAAGTTCAAGCAAGATTAGAAATTAAGCAACGAGGAATAGGTAGGCTTGCTTCAGGAACTCACGGGAATACCCCAAATCAGTGAGTACAAGGTGATATGGGATGGACATCATTTGAGGGCAGGGAAGCTAGCAGCAAGATAAAATTTGAAAAGCGATTGAGAGAAACGGAGAAGGAGCGTAGGGCTAGGAAGGTTTTCAGCTACTTGTACACGAGGAATGTCGATACAAAATGGAGGAAGCGAACCAGAAAATTGAGAGGTAAATACTTAGAAAACAGCAGGGGGCCAAACCAAAAAGAACTATCGGTTAAGAAGGAGGTGAAGGAAATGGAGACCGATATGTGGAGAATCGGCACGATTAAGAAGTCCGCACTAGAGATCTCTCCAACTTTTAAGCAGGAAATTACCAAAGAAAGGGTCTTTGATAATACTCGTGGTAGTTCTCTACTGTTTCAGGCCAGGACGGGGGTATTGTGAACCAAGACATATCGGGCCAAATACGAAGGGGTAGACACGGTATGCAGTGCGTGTGGAGAGGAGGAGGAAACTGCCGAACACTTGATAATGTTCTGTAAAGGGCTTCACCCTATAGTTCAGAATGATAGCGCAGAGTTTTTCAAAGCACTGGGGTTTAGGGACAGGGAGGGCAAAATAGACTTTAAGCGGGTAGAATTAACTAGAATGAGGTTATCTGATTAGTGGTTAAAGTCAAGGAACGAGGAAAAACTAAACCCTTCACTGCAAAGTACCAATCCTAAACTTCACTATTTAAAGGGAAAAAAAGATAAATCTAGTTTTTGGTTCACTAGGCATTACAGCTAGGTGGCGTTAGCCATCGCCCGATTTAAAATGTCCATCCATCCATGCGAAAGGTTTTATTTATGTATTTATATTGCACCACTACGGGAAGCGGCGCTCGCATCGGGGTGTGCTGAATAAAATAGTTCTCGTTTAATCGCGTTCATATCCTGAAGTTTCACACTTATATTTACGCACAAAAAAATATTCACGATCAAAGCTCGTTTCGCACATAACACGATAATCTCACAGCATTTTTTGCGCAAGAAAGGTGCCACACCTACGCGTGAGAATACGTATGACCGGAACTGACTCCGCTGCAACGAGTGCCAGCATAAATACCCTTTCCCCGACGTTGCAGCGCCATGGTAGGCGTTTATGCGTGTTGGCGCACGCATTCCTGCTAGCTGTAAAAGATCACCGTCGCGTCAAATGCAGCTCGAGCAATACGACTTGTATGCGGTAACGACAACAACAACGACAAAAAGTAGAACGTGTAATATTCCTCTAACTCAGATGACAACGGCGACACAACACTTGCGGCCGAAAAACGCGCTGTGGAAATGCAACAGCCTCGATTTCATGATGAACGCGGTGGCTTGAACCAACGCATTCAAGAACTTGTCAGCGGCGGTGCTCCAATTCTTAGACAGCACATAGACAGCCTATGCAGACTGCTTAGAAGACAGCACCGAGCCCATGCTGTCCGAGAATTGGAACACGTCTGGACGGCTTTTACGCGACGGTGCACCACCTCGTGTCGAGAAAAAAAAACTAAAATAAACAAACGTAACAGTTGTATTTTCTGGCCTATTTTGTCCTATTTTGTGTTGAAAGCCAAAACAAATAAACGTTACTCACATCGAGCGTCTGGGGAAGCATCTGCTTGTGTTCAGACGACCATTCCGACGAGATCCGATCTATTTGAGTGGTTCACTGAGCCGCCATCTTGTTTAGAAAGCAAAGTAGCCTGCATCGCATTTGTCTACGATGTGGTCTTCTCGGAGTTGTCTATTTTGCCGGCTACGGGAGCATTGGAATGCGACTTAAGATGGCCGCCGTCCATTTAGCTGTCTATTTAGCCGTCTACGGTGGATATTGGAACATACCCAGCGTCGTCTGCTGTTGGCGAAAGTTGCCGACCTCAAAAACTGAAGCTCCGCGGAATGGTTGCCAGACTAAACAGTCGTTGCGTCGTCCAACCAGAATGCGCATCAGAGCCGCTCATGCTAAGCTCATGCGGCTAGCGCTTGTGTTGCATTTTGGCGCCGGGACTCCATTTCGCTTTCCGCTTGCGGGCTGCAGGGGTCCCGCCACGTGTGGAGCGGGTCTATAGGCAGTCGGTTTACTACCCTGCGCATGAGAGGGGGATGGGGGAGGTAAAAGATAGAGAGGAGAGAGAGTAGTGAGATAAACACAACACATTAAGCAGCACACGCGCACGCGCACAGGGGGTTCAGTATACTTACTGTACAGGGCAGCTATTATATGACAGTTGAACACGTCAGCGGAGATTTTTCGGAGATTTCAGACATTTGTCACATGGGACTCATGGTAGTCCTTGCATCGCTCTCATTAGGATGAAGCGGTTGCGCACTCAGTATACTAAGTACGCTAAGAAATCGAGTTGATGTAAACGTATACCATTAAACGTGCCACGCGGGGCTAAATGGCCGGACGCATTACTTGCTAAAAGATAACCAACAGCACTGTCAAGGTATACAGACTGCCCTGGTGGTCTAGTGTACAAGGTACTCGGCTGCTCACCCGCAGGTCGCGGGATCGAATCCCGGCTGCGGCGGCAGCATTTTCGATGGAGGCGAAAATGCTGTAGGCCCGTGTGCTCAGATTTGGGCGCACGTTAAAGAGCCCCAGGTGGCCGGAATCGCCGGAGCCCTCCACTACGGCGTCTCTCACAATCATATGGTGGTTTCGGGACGTTGAACCTCAGATACCAAATCAAAGTCTGCAGACTCTCCGGATGAACACGGTTTGTGACACAAAACTGCACACGAGATGTTTGTTGCTGATGCGTGAAGCACGGAAATCCGAGTCGCACGGTCAACAAAAACGGGACTGATTGCATTTCCCGCCCGTGCCAACGAACTGTACGCTAACGATCATTACGTGCTGTCACTGCAACAAAAAGCGAAAGGCGAACCGCACTGTATTCCTAGGCGGGGCGCTATCTTCACTCTCTGTAAATCAGACCTGCTACCTCAGCAACCAAGGGCACGCCACTGCAGCTAAAAGCGGCCGTTGGCCCAGTGAACCAGACTTGAAACACACGGTGCGTCGGAAGTCGTCGCAGCTTTCATCCGCACAGTGAGCTTGCTTGCAAGATAATATTTCCCTCTCTGAGCCTTTCTTGGCATTTGTTTCTCGAGCAAATGCCATTTAATAAGGATCTATAACAGTCCTTTTCATTCACGAAGTAAAGCTTTGTCATTTTTTGGCTCTTTATTCACTTTAAATAAAGCAATGAGCGCTAGTGAAAGATTCGTAAAAATTACTATTTAAACCACCGAGAGCATAACAATTATTTAACAAAGTAAGCTTACTATTAACCGCCTCACAAACTCGCCAGACAATTGTTTGCTCAGACGCTCGCATAAAAGACGTTGTACGCGGCCGCAATCCCGGTTGTTTTAGCATTAAATAATAACCACCTCTTCGCCGCTTAAAGACACGCTGAAAATCATTACCAGCGAGTCTGAGCGAACAAACGTGCTTTTATTTTAACGTCAACATGCAAGTGTACGCTAATCACTGTGATTTATTATCCGTGAAAAACTAGCGTGAGGACAGTGAAGTTGTAAGCATATATTTATCAGGCTTACATGTGATGTGCCTTCAAACACCGGTACAGACTGGAACAGACTGCTATGCATTTCATCACAGTTGTAATTTTTGCCCGACTGCAGCGTTCACGTTCACTCTGCTGACACGACACTTCATTACGGCGACAATGCGCTTCGCTGCTCTTCTTGGTATTTGGGTGCTGCCGTCCTTGACGTTGGCCTTCGACCCGTCTACGTGGGAAGTGACTGCACTGCCGGGACTCAGCGAATCGGTTAACTTCAAACACTACTCCGGATTCCTGAACGGTGCGGATGGTCGACAGCTGCACTACTGGTACGACATAAATTGTTTTCGTAGTGTCTGAGCATATTATTGTTTTCACTGCTGGTATGACATGCAGATTTTAGCGTCTTGTGATGAAAGGGGCTGCTACCTGAAATAGGCCAAAGAGCACCTTCAAGTGGAGGTAAAAGCGAAAGCGGGTGTTGGAAGTCCTGCAAGCTCAAGCGAAATATATTCCGAGCTCTTTGCAGAACTGTGTTGATTGTTATTGGCGTGCATAGGGTTCTCCAGTTTATGGGGGGGGGGGGATTCCTCTGACAGCTTCTTTACCCCACCTTTCCCGACCCCTTCACTCTGAAGTCGTTACGACCAGAACGCAGCACAAAGACGAAATACTAGTGGGAAGAGGGAGGGAGAGCTGGGCACACGCCTATTTAGAAGGAGTTATTTTGTGCATGTCCATTTCGTTACATTCTTTACAATGATAATCACTTAAATCATATAACCAAATAAGTAACAGACAACCATCTGTAATGATAAATTAGTTGCTCAATTGGTCATTTCGAGACTCTTCCAGGAACCACATCTTACATTCATTGTATGTAACAACTAATTCGCTCCACGATCACCTACATCGTCCTGGAAACTTCGGATGCAGGCAGACGTACTTGCTCTAACCTTGTAGCAGAAGGTATGCTTAAAAATACAGTGGTAAAAACATGAAAGGCGTGCGTATTTAAGTATTTAGGTGTAATCTACGATCCGTTGTTCTATTCTTTTGGTTGATTTCATTGGGGTAGTTCAGTTCGCCATAGCTAATCAGTTGATGCGGCCGCTTGGCTGCTGACCCAAAGGTCGAGCCATACCGGTCATGGCGGTGGCATTTTGGTGGAGATGAAATAGTAAAGGATCATGTACTGTGCCATAACATGGATATATTATTATTATTATTATTATTATTATTATTATTATTATTATTATTATTATTATTATTATTATTATTATTATTATTATTATACTAGTTTAGTGATGAAGTATATTCGGCTTTAGACAAGAACCTGTAGTGTTGTGTTCTGTTTTTAGGCTTGAAAATAGAAAATAGAAAAGCTATTTCGTTTGGATTCTAGAGGGCCTTTTTATGATGTACTTTATAATTACTTAGTAGACGGGTCATAGGTTGTTATGGGATGTAGGGAAGTAGCAGTAGAAAATATATTACTGCTGGTGTGCCACAAGGATTGGTGTTCTCATCATTGTTATTTAATTTATGTATGAATGACTTCCCCTTAGTAATTTTTAAAGCAAATGTTTACCAGTATGCAGATAATACGGTTCTATTAACACACGTCACATACGTTATGAAGGGGCGATTAATGCTCTGTAAAATTCATAACGCAATGATATGGTTAGAAGAAAACTGCTTAATTGTAAACAAAAAGAAAACAAAACTGATCTGCTTTCGAAGCCCACTAAAAACACAAAAAATGGATATACCAATTTTTCTTCACACCGAGCATTGAAACCCATGCAAATTTTCTGCAGTTTAAAATGTCGAAACATTGAAATACCTAGGCGTAATTATCATATTGGTATGTCTTGGCAACATCACATGGCATTTATTTGTTCCAAACTGAGAAGTATGGCATGTCTGCCTTTCAATATAAAAAGCTTCGTGTCTCTACCAGTGAAAAAAAGGGATAGTTCATTCACTAGCGTATAGTGTGGTGAGATATGGTATTACAGTTTTCGCATTTTGCTCAGAGTGCTGCATAACACGCATTGACAGTTTACTTCGAAATATTTTGAAAAGTGTTGCTTACGGTAGTAAGGTATATGCCAGTACTATTTTTTGGGATTTGGGCTTTTGTGTGTTTCATGATTTGTTTACTAAAACAGTTGTGCTGAGAGACAATTGTGTGATTACTTTAAAGTGTCATATGTAACGCGTCAACCCCTCAGAGAAAAAAAGCGCTTTATGGTACCCTAGTTGTCTACCAGATATGGAGAAGCATGTGGAAGTGTATATATTGAATTTTCAATAAACTACCTGAAGAGTTTTTTTTTCAGCGAGTTCTAAAAAGCAATTAAAGAAATTACTTGCTGAGCTGTAAAATCACATGGTCTACTTGTATGTCACGTATGCTCTGGGTCCCTCCTTTGTTCTTCTTTTTTAATCACTGCCCGTAAAAAAGCAATGGTGTCAATCAATCACTAGGTTGTTCATTGGCAAAGAACCAACAATAGTTTTTGTTACCTTGTATTCACATCGCTGTAACCGTCTGTGCCGGGCCTAGTTGCACAAGTCTCTGGGATTTAGACAGGCCCATTTCATTGTATCTTTTATGGATGTGTACAATAGAGTCATTATTATTATTATTATTATTATTATTATTATTATTATTATTATTATTATTATTATTATTATTATTATTATTATTAGTATTATTATTATTATTATTATTATTATTATTATTATTATTATTATTATTATTATTATTATTATTATTATTATTATTATACTTCGGGTGGGTCAGTATAGGCCGATGCACAATGATAACGTACAAGATTTCTCTTGAAAATCCATAACAATTCAATTATTTGACTCAGGCAGTATATTTCGACATAATGCCTGATATATCTGCATACGGTAAGACGTTATAATATCTAAGCATCCTTTAGGCTCCACGCAAATTTGACGTGTTCGTCTAAAGAAGAAGGGCATGTGCACACCACTAAGATTGAGGTTTACAGAGCTCGGCGTGAAATGATTAGACGAGTGATAAATCATGGGACACTGGCCTGGGAAATGTCACCCTATTTCATTCGCTTTCCAGTGACCACATCAGGCGACGCTAGGGTGGTAAATGAAAGTTTCGCACTAGCATCTTGTCTGAGTCAGGCTCCCATACTGTGACAAACCCAACGCCGCACATTCAGGCACTATAGAACACAAACTTTCGTGCTTGATGGTGCAACTCTCACCAATCCTTTACATCATATACCTCACAGAATGGGTGACTTGCGCAAGGACCGGCCGAGTTTCCCCGCAGAAGAAGAAAGCTTTATGGGTCAGGTTTTCTTGACAGGGAGAATGGAACACGCTGACGTTGAAAATAAAAAAAAGGAAAAAGAAAAGGTCTCGCATGACTGCGCATTGCTTGTCGGGAACCACGGGCGTTACGCATGCTGCACTGGCCACGATGTGGCACGCCTGCGATCGCTAGAGGTGGACAGTACCAACGAAACAGCTACGACAGCGAGGAGTTTTTGCTTGCGGAGTTCTTTTACAGCTGAAGGCTGGGATGGGAGTTCTCAGCTTGCGGCAAAGACACAAGTTGTGCTTCGATGGACCCCTAGAGTGCCTGCATAACAACAGCAATGCGGCGGATTAGATACACAGATGAGCCGGGTAGATAGAAAGGAGAAATCTTCGCTATCAGCACCATAACTGAAATGCATGGCAATGCCATTATATGGTACCGTCACGTGGCTAGTTAACAAGTGGAAGGGAGGTATGGCGAAAACACACACACACACACACACGCGCGCGCGCACCCACATATGGAATGCATATGGCATGCACTGTAGGAATCGTTCCTCACTAAGTTTCTTGAGCCAGCAGTGCAAAATCATGCCCTATATATGAATAGAGATCCGCTTCATATTTTGATTACAAATGCATGTTTTGGTCACAAGACATGCGAACGACTTCAGACGCACTCGGTACCCACCGTAGTAGACTATACGGTGTGAGTCGCGCTACTATACTATCTCGTTAATATTGCGCTGTATTAAAGCTCCCTGACAGACAGTCTTAAACTAGGCTATGCAAGTGGCATATCCGTACCCAAGAGCGTGTACTTGGTTTGTGGCTTTTCCATGTAAGACCGCACATGTGTTTACTCCTTTTGCACTTTCCGAAAGGACCTAAAAAAGCGAAGATCGATCGTTAGGCGGTTACCAGACGACGAAATATTTAATGTATAGGGTTATCCCATAGTAAAACAACGCACAAATAATGTGGTACCATTTTATTTGCTTTGTATTACATAAGTGATGATTCACGTTATATACCAGAGAAAAAGTTGGCAGTGAAATTGGGGCGAAGTAATTAACAGTGGGTGAAGCATGACTCATTGCGCATCTAAAAACATCTCGTAGAAGTGTTCGGTCAAGTTCGAAGTCAAGGTTACGCTTTCTCTCTAGTACACTTCAAAAACGCCTTAATATGTTAAATTCTATGAAAAACGCTCATGAAAAAGAAAAGTGGCATCATTTTAAAGACGCATATTGTTTCGTGCGTCTACCGACATCGTGAATGATTTAAAGAGGGCACCTTGAAAAACAGATATCACTTCTTTCGTGTTACGAAGGTTTATGGAGAGCCAACGGTCGCCAACTGAAGACCCCTTGGTGCTGTGGCTGACCGGAGGTCCCGGTTGTAGTGCGCTCTCGGCAGTGGCCACAGAGTTGGGTCCGTTCCGCATTGGGCCACTTGGCGTGAACGTGACTTTGAATCCATACAGCTGGAATCAAGTAAGTTGGTTTCACTCAGTACGCGACAAGGCCGTTCTGTGATGTCTGGAGACCATCCAAAACAACGGCAATGTTTAGAAAGGTATTTGGAGGTGGTGTCATCACTCATGAGTAGCCAGTACTAACCCGTTGGTCAGGTTCTATGGATCATGTTTTTTTTTTTTTAGGGGCGAAGCTCTTTAGGGCGTGGGCTGTGCGTCCCCTGTAGCCTGTATGTAGCCACCTCTAGTTTAGTTCTTGCAGTGTTCACTAGATGGCGGTACCGTCCCCTGTATGTAGCCACCTCTAGTTTAGTTCTTGCAGTGCTCACTAGATAACGGTACCATCTCCTGTACGTAGCCACCTCTCGTTTAGTTCTTGTAGTGTTTACTAGATGGTGGTACTCGTAGCTGATGATGAAAAGATGCAAGATGTTATAAACTAGAAAGCGGTACTTGTAGTTGATGAAAGACGCGAGATCTTATAAAATAGGAATGATGTCACATATGGCGCGTGTCATTGGTTGAAGGCAATCGTTCGATTTAGTGCAGCGACGCACGCTAGGGGGAGCGTTGTAATAAAATCCGTTCGCTGTTGGCGCGCGCTCGGAGTCGCCGGATGGATAAGGCTGCACAGCGGAGAGAGCGCAAGGCACAGACCATAAAGCCGTCATAATGAAGGGACATCGCAAGCCATCCATCATCTAAGAACAAATAAAAGTTGATTTGTGTATATACACACACAGCGTTTCTCACGTCTTTACATGTTGATCGACTGGGCGAATTACACGGAAGATTCACAGTTTACCGATGAATCCCTCCGGAGATTCGCCCATTCATCATCATTCACCCCGTGAATATGCCGTAATTTTTTTAATGGCCATTATTGCGTTTGTTGTAGTTATTGTTGCCCTGTCTAGTAGCGCACTCTCCCACTGACCATGCACTAAGCTAATGCATGTGAAGAAAGTAATCAAGGAAACGAAGCAACTGTTTACTGTATACTGTTCTGTATACAATTAGATGTACTTTTATTGTAATCACAGATGTTAGGCGACTGTTCGCGATATTAAGTAATATTAATCTGTACTTGCCCACTACACTGAGCCTCATAGCCATATTGTCATTTAGGTACGTAAAATCTGAGACACTATTGGGAACCTATGCTTAGAATAAGAGCGTAATCCTGCGCAAACAAGCCTGATCCACGTACCACGCATGAAGGCCAGAGAAACTAATGACGCAACACTGCTCAGGCAGTTTCTCAACTGAGACATTGTCAAGATGGCGCATAATGCAGTGTTTTCTTGCAGGTCGCAAACATCCTATTTTTGGAAGCCCCGGCTGGTGTCGGTTTCTCTTACGATCCCACTGGAGTTTACGACACTGATGACACCAAAACAACTGAAGATAACTACCTGGCGCTGTTGGATTTCTTCGAAAAATACCCTCAGTTTAAGAGCAATGACTTCTATGCAATGGGTGACAGCTATGGGGGTATTTTTGTCCCCCTTATCATGCAGCGAATTATGAAGAACCCAGAAGGACTGAATGTCAAGGTAATTTCCGTAATTTGTACCTGACTGCGCGAATTATGAAGAAGTGGATGAATTGAAGTTAGAGCTTTTATTACGCTGCATAGAGCAATAAGGTTCAAGGAAAGCATGTTTCAGCATCTGTTAGACAAAACTTGAATATTTTTTTATGATTTTTAATAGGCAGAATGATAATGCGGGCAAGCTGAATCTTACGTGGTGATCATATTTATTATATAGGTTGCAGAAAAAAAACATACTTAAACAAAGGTCTCAGTGTGCAAAATATGCCAACAATTGTCATAATAATTTATCATTTCATAAATAGGAAGAAAATGGGTAACACGATGTTGTTAAATAGGTAACATAATTGTACGTATTTGTTAACGGTTTTGCTGAATATGTCTGCGTGCATGCGTGTGTGTGTGCGCGCGTGTAGTTTCATGAACGTTTGCAGCTTTACTTCAGCATGAGTTGCATTCTTGCATAAATGAATATAGGCGGTGATGAAGATTTTTAGTATTATGCTGAATGAACTAGGACAAATTATTTTTACGCTAGATCTTAATAACATGTGTACCTTATTCTTCACTCGATTTGTTTTTCCTCAAGGGTTACGGCATTGGAAACGGGGCTGTGGATTTCAAGCTTCACTTCAAGGCCACCATATTCTATGCTAATTACCACAGCCTTTTGGGACGCGAGTAAGTCTTTTTGTTTATTTTAGAACCAATATGTGTCAATCAAAAACAACATTACATATCCCAAATGCAGCAGTAGAAATGTGAGTGCTTATTTTTGCTTGAAACTGAAACTTTTCACTTTTTCTCTTTGTTTCATCTGTGCTTTCAATATTTAAACAACCATCTGAATGACATGCTCCTACCCCTATTCCTTTATCGTATGAGCGCCTGGCTTAGATTAACTGCGCGTTGCTTTCTGCCACGCATTTGCCGCAAAGACGTTCGAAATTTATTTTACAGCGTTATTGTTACACAAAAATAGCGTCCTGCAATTTTAACTCCTGCGAGAAGTACGTCATCAGTGACAAAATTAAATTAAAGTCGATGATTCGAGAGCTACAGAAGTTGTGGACACAAGAGTAGTCCATTCTACAGACAATGACAATCTTCGGCTTTAGATTGATTGATTGATTGATTGATTGATTGATTGATTGATTGATTGATCGATCGATTTGTGGCGTTTAACGTCCCAAAACCACCATATGATTATAAGGGACGCCGTAGTGGAGAGCTCCTGAAATTTCGACCACCTTAGGTTTTTTAACGTGCGCCCAAATCTGAGCACACGGGCCTACAACATCTTCAGCTTTCCATTCCGGTTTTGTATGAAAACTTCTGGCTCAAAGTTCACCTATATTGTTTATGTTAACGATACCAGTAAAATTTTATTCTTTCCCTTATTGTGCGGAAGTGATCAGCCTTAGTACGCTTCATCACAGCTGCTGAAGTTATTAGCTCTTGGTGTTTTGGCAAAGCCTTCGGATCAAAAACTCGGCCGTAAAATTTCACTGGAAAAGTAACAAATTTAACAAAATACTATTGATGCTCAACAATCAAGCTTACATGTGATTTTGCAGTGACAAACGGTCCCTCGTTCTGCATCGGTATAAATCGGGTCTTTGTGACATTTTGTAACTTAGTTCTAATAAGTCACACGACAACGTGTGTTAACAACAAACAATCGGTAATAAGCAGGCAAAAAAAGATTTAGTTTCATCGGAAAAGCGAAGCAATGAATACGATGGCAACAAACCGGAATGTTATACGGAGTAAGGCTAGCCGCTACCTCGTTTAACATGCAACCTGGCGTAACTCAACAAAACACCACTGTGAGGAAGTGTGGCCACTGCAGCAAATGATCCGACGTGTGGGCTGTCTATTGCTTCAACGGAAGCTTTGTTTTGATAACGGATGAGAACACAACGCGTATAGAAAAGTTTGAGCCTTCGGCGGATCCCCTATAGAGATACGGTGCGCGCGACTACCAGTGACCCCGTCTGGCTGATCAAAGTGCGCAATACCGGCCGAGCCATGCAACCTTCCTTATGGCTCCAATCTGTGTGTTCCTGGCGAGACGAAGATGGCCTGCTCGTTTAATCTGCACTTGAGCTACGTTCGCATGCTGGCTCGCTTTCACTCGCATTTAGAATATGCAACGCTTGGGGCGAGGTTATCGACTTGGATTTTACGTAGAACGTGACGGTTACGGCAAAAATGCTTCTGGAGTTTTCACATGGTTCCTATCATAGTAAAAATGGTTGTCGACGTAAGTGAAGCTTCTACTTGTGTGACGGTTTTGACCACCTCTCGCTGCTAATGCTTCTCCTTTTCTCTAGTTAACGCCATTTCGCGTACAGTGCACATATAGAAAGAAACGTGAACAGCGCGGTGTGCTGGTTTCATCACGCCCTGACCAACGTGGCAATTCAAAGATGCTAGTTGATTCTCGATTGTATCATGCATGACTATATTGACATTTGTCACCGTGCCAGATATAAACGATAGATAACAGTAGAGAATGTAGATACCGCATTTTCGCGTTTCTTTGGACCCTCACTCTTCATTTAATATAGATGGGTCACTCCATTTAGATGTATCTATTTCTTGACACAGAGTGCACACACATTCAAAGCGCTGCTATAAAAGGCGTAACTGAGGCACGTCTCCTGAGCAGCGTAGATCTATGTGCCATGCCTAATGCATGCGGACACCGCTCCGATTGTCTTTGCGAGGTGCTTCGTCCAGCCTGCATATTTGCTCTCTTCTCGACCGACGTTGTCGAGAAACACATTTTACACATCAATGCGGTGAAATATTAATCAGTGTGAGCACACAAGTCCTTAATTGTGCTAGCAGCGGCCACATAGCAAGTGGCGCAGGCGGTGTATACGACGTGCGCCGTTGGCATGCACACCCGATCTTCGCCACCAGCGCCTTTCAGAAAGCCACGTCATTGACGCTGCTTGTATAAGCTGAAAATTACGAGCTGCGTGACTCACCGTGGTGGTCTTTTGGTTATGGCACTCGACTGCTCAGGTCGCGAGATGCAATTTCGGCCATGGGGGCCACATTTTCAATAGACGCAAAAATGTTCGAGGCTCGTGTACCTAAATTCAGGTGCACGTTAACGAATCCCAAGAGTTCGAAATTTCTCGAGCCCCCCACTACGGCGTCTCTCATGATCATATGGTGGTTGTGAGACTTGAAATCCTAACAATTGTAATCACGAGGTGCCGATGGATCTAAAACTGCACCCAGCCGCAAGTCCAACATCCTAGGGACCTCTTCCTGCCATTAGCTGCTTTCGACAATGAATTTAGCGCTTGCGCCTGACAGCGTTGCATAGCACTTCACAAAACCATTGTGCATTGACGTTGGACAAGTATGCCGTATCGTCTAAGTGTGCCCATTGTCAGACAGATTACACTTTCGTGAGACGCAAGAAAGACTGCACTGTCACTGATCAAAATTTAGAATTGGGCAATGTCGCATTGATTCATGAAAAATAATCATAAGACGTTCTGGGGTTTCACGTCCAAAAACCACAATATGCTTGTGATGGGCGCCGTAGTGGAGAGCTTCGGGAATCTTGATCATCTGATGTTCTTTTACGTGCCCTGAAATTACACAGTACACAGACTGCTAGCATTTCACCTTTATAGATATGTAACTGTCCTTGCCGGGAACGAACATGGGACCTTCGGATCATCAGCCGCGCATCGTAATCGCTAAACCACCAAGTCCTACGTTTTATGGCGAATATAACTAAATTGCACAAATAGAAAGAAGACTAGATATGACCGAGAAAGACTACACCACACGGGCGCCTCTGTTCTCTTCAGACCTCGTTCTACTTGAACTGTTTGCTTATACTCGTAGTGTATTGTCGCCCCTCTTCTAAACATATGGTAACGTAGGTCAATAACCGTACAAAAGTAAAAGTGCTACGCTGCCCATATTTGGGTGTTTTCTGAAAGATATAGTACAATTCCCGCCCCCTTCCTCCCAAATGGATCGTAAATGTGGTTACTTGTATCTCTCGCATTTCATAGATGACATCTTAGGTATACCGTTTATTCGCCTCAGGTGCAGCGTCACTATATGTTACTTGTGGGCTACGAATAAGACAGACAATGTCATTCTACGACGCTCTTAATGAAATCATTGACATGGTGACTGTGAGGAATGAAACATGGAAGAAAATAATGAAACGTAGACACTAATGCGTGTACCTCTACGTGCACAACGATGCGGTGGTTCGCCAACTGAGGTGATATTACTCCGAGGCCGCCACTCTATAGCCTCATTCACTTGGCTCCATTCCACGCGTTACACCATATACGCATGCAGTGCGTTCGGGCAGCTGTCATAACCCATTTTCTGAGCATATTTATGTCGTCAGTGCGTGTCACAACGTAGATATTGAATGGAAGCTCCGCCGAACAAAAACCATCCTCGAGGTTTTTTGCGTAATTTCAAACGAAGGCAATCTACACATTTCGTATTTAAAATTTTATGTTCAAGTTGTAAGTTACCTATCCTAAGAAAAATAAATAAATGCGAAACAGTATTACAGCACTCTAATTTTATAGTAGTCGTTGTATGTAAACTTTCATATAAAAACCTTCGCGAAGTCAGCTGTAAAAAGGTAATCCACCACAGGCGTTACCTTCCTGCTACCGTCTCCCCTCTTTCATCTTGATGTGTTGTGCACGTTAGAAAGTGCTCGCGGCCTTAAGCCCTTAAAGACGATAGTCTTTCTTGCAGACATTCGATGCAAAAATTTTGGTCTGTCTGTCTGTCTGTTTGTCCACTCTTAACAGCATCGGGTATTTGAAACATTCGACCCCATCCGCAGCACCCGCCTACGCTGCTCTAGATTCAGCATTCATACTTGTGCAACTGTCGATTAAAAAGCAATTATTGCGCGTGTCTGGGGCACCATAACAACACGTATATATTCTCCATGTGCGCATTTTACTAAAAAAGGCATACATAAGTAGTTTTAAGGACCGTAGCGCTTATCACGCTGCGCTGACCATCCAACGCTTGCACGGAAAGGCGAGTGTTTCCAACGCTTTGCTAAAACAAGACCGTGGTGGCACCTACCCATCGCCTTGCGTTCTACACCTTATCACCCCTGAGGCGGGCGTGCTCACCCGTCTCGGAGCCACGCGCTTTGTTTTTGAAAAAAAAAACTGACAGATGGTGGTCATGCCTCACGTGTGACGTGACTTGACGCGCTCTTTCGCCTCCACTGCACGCTCGAGGCACTCTAACGCCGCGCCTCCAGAATACCATTCACCGATTTTGTTGAGAACATCAAATAAATGTTTTGTTCACTCTCTTCACACGCAAGACTGTCGTCTTTCGATGCCATTTGCAGATTAAATGCATATACAGGGCCAATGTTTCCCGTACATTACAGCCGCATTGATTTGCCCATTATGCAGTTTTCTTAACCAGGGCATTTGTTACTGCAGCGAGGAACTAGTAAACTTCCTGCCATTTACAAAAAGCAATACTTTTTTTTCTTGTGTAGTCTCTGGGACGACCTTACTTCGAACTGCTGCAACAACAGCATCTCCGAGAAAACGTGTAACTTCACTATGGATCCCAAGAAGATAGCCTGCACCGTTCCGGTACGTCAGCACAAGTATGGTATTGAGAAGCTTTGCTTGGCGAGCGCTGCATAAAAAAAACAAGCATTGTTAACGCTGTCCACATAAACTTGCAGTGATTTATTCAAGTGTTTATCAGGTCGCTACCCAGCTCACTTCTACAATGCCAGTGCAATGTTAGTTGCACTGCCTATAGAAAATATTGTTAATTGACAATTTACAGCCCCATTCACATTTCTGTAGCTCGCACGAGCATTCGGCTTTGCTCTGCGGAGCGTTACTTTGCGGCAGTTGCGGGCTCTCACATGGCGTGCCCAGGAGCAGTCGTGGCCTAACCAACATGTATATACAAATTCCACTAGACTTACGTCACGAAAATGTGGTGGCGCTGTCTTTGTAGGTTAAAGACGCTCTGCCTATACCGCAGTTTCTGCTGGGTTTTCAATGGTGCATGTGGTGTTCTCAGTCAAGCAACGAGAAAAAAAACGGTATGCCTGTGAACTTTGTCGCGGTTGGATGTGAGTTGCGTCTAACAACTTAGTTTTGTTTGTTGGCACACATTGCAGCCCTCAGCCCTTATGGCTTTCACAACGCTTATGGCGTCTCACTATGTTGTTTTGTTTGCGCACATCGCTGTCCTCAGCGCTTATGGCGGAAGTTACGTGCGGACGTCGCTATAGTTTTACCCATGTCGACATGAGCCTCCCTGTGTTTACAAACGTGGAATGGGTCTATATCTGCGCACTATGATTTAAACTGCAAATAATGTTGGTAAGCGCCATCGTGTCGATGGATGTGCGTACAAACCGATGTTATCACTTTTTGATGTGCCCGCGTATCTCTCAATATCTAGATAGCGCACCTCGTTAGCTTTGGAAAAACCGGGCGCGTGAGTCAAGCCAGACGTGTTTTTGGGCATCGAGGGGCGGCAACAGACATACAGACAGACAAACTTTATTAGCAAGTGTGTTTGCACCCACCGGGGTCCCTGGACCACCACGCGGTCCCGCACCATGCCTACGCGGTCATGCCTCTCGCCGAGATCACATCGCCAGCCCTAGTCACCGCAGCAAGCTGCAACGGCGGGTCCACAGACGAGAGCAGGACCTCCCAGTCTCAGCTTGAGATGGCAGGCTGACCCTGTGGGAGAGGATCAGCAGGGCAGCCGAATAGGATGTGGGAAATGGTGGCGTGAGGTTCGCCGAATGGAACATTTCAGGGAAGTGCGACAGTAGTGGTACTGCAGCTGAGAGGAAGATAGAGTGCCAGTCTGGAGACGTCTTCACGGGATTTGTTGGGAGCGTGTAAAAGAGGGATTTGGAGGAGGGTAGTTCCGACAGTTCAATCGGCGTATTTGCGTGAGCTTTGCGAAAGTGTGCGGCCGCTCCTTCGAGAAGCCCGAATCGAGGTGGTCCTGAGCCCGGCAAAACAATCCTCGGGCCAATTTATCGGCAGCCTCATTTCCTGGGTTCCCTAAATGAGCAAGTACCCACTGAAGCTGAAGCTCTACCATTCGCGGTAAATATTGTGTGAGGGTGTTCAACAACTGCCATGCAGAGGGGTGTTTCCTGCCCCTGGCATAGTTGTACAGAGTAGTTTTTGAATCAGTGAAGACGTACTGTGCATCGGATTGTGCTAGGGCTGAGGCGATGGCGGTCTCCTCTGCCTCCTCAGCTGTTGAGCCTGAGGGGAGGTGGTGATTGATTGATATGTGGGATTTAACGTCCCGAAACCACCATATGATTATGAGAGATGCCGTAGTGGAGGGCTCCGGAAATTTGGACCACCTGGGGTTCTTTAACGTGCACCCAAATCTGAGCACACGGGCCTACAACATTTCCGCCTCCATCGGAAATGCAGCCGCCGCAGCCGGGATTCGAACCCGCGACCTGCGGGTCAGCAGCCGAGTACCTTAGCCACTAGACCACCGCGGAGGGGCAGGGGAGGTGGTGAATCAGGGAATGAGGTAGCGTGGGTTTGTAGGCAACTGCCACAGCTTGCTGTGCTGTACAAGCGGCGTCTAGCCAAATGGCATCCTTAGCTTGTCCGTAACTCTTGAGAAGGCTTTTTGCGTGAGCTACGCGGTGAGCGATGTGATGCTGAGGGTGGACATTGCGAGGCAAGGGCTTGACTATTATAGAGGCATGAATGTGTCTAGGAATGGCCAGGCAGGTTGGTTGATTAGCAGGTATGTTCATATAAAGAGGGGGCGAGAATATGGCGGCCAATGGCGCTAGCGAAAAGTCTTAAATACTGTGCCTGAAGATGTGCCTCAACTATAGCTCATAAAAGGTCTTGTGCATGCCCAGTTTGAAAAGTTTGGCTGTGTTTGTGCTACGAGGAAGGTTCAGGGCTGCCTTAGTTGCAAAGCGTATTATGGCATTCACGCGTTCAGTTTTTGTGCGGTTCCGCTTAAGATACGGGATGGCATATAGAATGCAGCTAAGTGGGAAAGCATGCACAACTTTCATATTGTGCGCTTCGTTTTAACCTTTGTGCATAGAAGATACGCGGTGTAAGAGCTGCAATTCCGATTGCGTAAAAGCCTTGAGTGCTTTGAGGGTGTGGCCATTCCGTCCGGAATACTATTTAGAGGAGGAGCATTCAAGCCCAATAGATGACGCGTGAGCTGATATGGTGTCGGCTGCTAATTGAAGATTTTCTTCTATTTGCCCGTCAGAGTCATACGTAGTTCACGTCGTTATATCATTCGTGTAAAATGTATGCTTTAGATGTGGGACGATATTTAGTTTGTGGGCTAAGGGAATGAGAGCAATATTAAAGAGGAAGGCGGGAGAGGACCACGCCTTCAGGAGTTCCGACCTCGCCGAGCGTATAACAGGCCGTGCTTAGGTTATGAATGTGCAAGGAGGTAGTGCGCCCAGAGATAAAAGTGTGGACATAGTTATAGGTTCTGGGGCCAAGTGCCTGCAGTTGCCTCAAGGTGGCATCGTGTCGAATTCTATCGAATGCCTTGGTAAGGCCCACCGCCAGGATAGCTTTAACAAGGTGGGGAATGGTACCGTCAAGCACGTCGTGAGTAATTTGGAGCAGGGCATCCTGCGTGGAAAGATACGCATGAAATCCTAACATACTGTAGGGGAAACGTTGTTTTTCTTCTATGAACATCGTCAGCCTAGAAGGATTATGTGCTCGAAGACCTTGGCAAGACAGGATGTTAATGAAATGGGACGAATATTGTCGATGGTGATGAGTTTTTGGCGTTTAGTGATAAATATAATTTTCGCGTGTTTCCAGGAGGCAGGGAGGATACCAGCATCCCAACATTCATTAAAGTTGTACACTAGATCATATATGGAAGCATCATCAAGATTTCATTTTGCAGCGTTAGTAAGTTTATCTTCACCGGGTGCTGTATTTCATTATTTTAGTAAGGCTACGCGAAATTCTGATTCTGTAATAAGGGCATTAAGCTGTGGTTGGGCTGTGCCAGTGTACTCGGGGTGTTTGGTATGACGACAAGATGTGGTATAGGTGCATTTCACCTGTGGAAGGTAGGCATCAGTGTCCTGCCGATGGTTATGAGTGAGGCGGTGAATGCTAAAGCGTGTCTTGTTTTTAGATTGCGTGTGGTCTAGCATGTGGCGCAACAGATGCCAAGCGCGAGTTTTGGGGAAATCGCCGCGGAGATTCTCACAAATTTGAGCCCAGTTAGCTTTGCAAAGGGTTGTGCTCTGTTGTTTGTTCTACTGGCGCTTGAAGCGGTGCAAGTTTGATTTTTTGTTTCCGGTTGTGCTTTTGAGGTTTCCACGTTTGCGTACTGTTATTATTAGCTTCCAAGAGATGGGCGAGCTTACTGTCGATAACGGGGATTTTCGTGTTTGTATCTAGCGTTTGGGTATTCTGGCGAATGTCCTCCTGTAACAGCATAACCCAAGAGTCAAAGTCGAAGGGGGCCTGTGTTGGCCGCAATAGCCTGAATTTGCGGAGCTGGTCCCACTTAACTCGCCTAACGGTAAATTTACGCCGAGGTTGTTGATAATTCACTGCAATGCGAATTAGGTGGTGGTCACTGCCCAATGTGATTTGCGTTCTTTCCCATTGCAAATCGGCGATATTTCTGCCAAGCGTGAGGTCAGGACTAGTATCAGCTGTGACACTATTATCATTTCGAGTAGTCAGGCTGAAATCATCAAAAGTGGTCAGATGGAGCACCAACGCTTCATTGCATAGAACTGAGCCCCTGTGGTTGGTGCCCCGATAGCCCCACTTTACGTGAGCGCAATGAAAGTCACCCATGTTGAGTAGGGGATTCATTGCTGTCAATTGTGCGGCGGATTGGAGAAGAGAGGGAAGTAACTGAACAGACTGTCATGGAAGAAGGTAGCAGTTAAGAACAAAAAGGGGGACCATGCAGGGTTGGGGGGAGGGGGTAAAATTTCAATGAAGGTATGAGCGATAGGGAAAGTGATGTCATGCTGCACGTAAAGTAAAGAGTTACCGACGTATGTTATGACGCGAGGAACATTTGTTGAGTCTGATGCAATAAAAGTATAGCCTGGCAGTTGCTTGCAAACATTCGCATCTTGAATTGCAATAATAACTTGTTGTAACAAATAATTGGTAATGATTTGCTGCAGAGGGTCACACTTTCGTCGAAAGCCCCTGCAGTCCCATTGAATACTTTGTAACGAATAACGGCCCGTGGGAGGAGCCATGTTGTAATGCGGAAGGGCGGAGCAGAAGGTTTGGAAGTGCGCCTGAGGGAGCAGAGGCTGCTGAGAGCCCAGATGTAAGATGAGCTAAACACTCTTCGACTTTGGTCATGATGCGCGAGAGGGCATTATTCGTTATCGGGTAATGGTAGCTGCTATCATAATTTGACACTGTGCACTGACTTGCGCCATAATGCGCTGTGCGAACCTGGCTTCTAAGTTTTTTGTGAGATCCTGAAATTTTGCTTCCAAGTGTATGGGTTTGGTTGGGCTCTTATCAGGCCTCCTTTTTTTTTTTTTGGAGGAGGCTGGTGAGATGGGGTGGGTAAAGATTGGGGCGGGAAA